TTTCCAATACTTCTCTCATGAAAGTCTTGTAATGTTCTTGATATGTCTGGTCTCTTTTAAGTTTTCGTTTCAGATGATTTAAGCGGATCAATGCAAGTGACTTGTTGTTGGGCAGGGAGGGTTGCTCCTTGAATGGCAGAGGCATTTCCAAATGCTTATCCTCATGCTGCTGTATGTTTTCTTTCATGAAGTTAAGGAAGGCGATGTCATCTTGAGATATCTTTATATCTTCATTCTTGTCATGAGCAAAGTCTTTCTCCAAAGTTTTTATGACATCCCTGGGTGTACAGCTATGCAGCTCCTTCACTGAAGTTCTGTGACAAACAACAGAAACGTCCCTGTCTGTGTGATCTGTGTATCCAACCACGCTCCAACCTAGCAGTGTCTGGATGCCATATGGCTGGTTCTCGTTTCCTGTTAGAATTCTTTTTGGTACAAGAGCTTGAGGACAATTGTATCCAATCAAGAGTCCAACTTCGCATAACTGAAGAGGTGGTAGTTCGTTGCTAAGCTCCTTCAGGTGTGTCTAGCACATTACGGTTTTCCTTTCAGGTATATGTGAGCGATCCGCAGGAATGAAGTCTCTCGTATATGCATTGTCTATTGTCACAAATTCGGTAGACTTGAACCCTCTCACTCTCAGGTTCTGTATACGGAAACTGTTAATGATAGTGTGCTGTGAGGTCATGGTAGACAAGCTGAGACGCGTTGGTTGTCTATTCACATGCAAGGCAGCAGCCGTTTCGTCTAGCACAAAGGTAGTGTCACTTTGTGTGTCTAAGAGAGCATATGTCAATATCTCGTGCGAGGGATTCTCCTGAACAGAAAGCCACACTGGAACGATCATGGAGGTGCTGTGACCATATCCTCTGCTCACACGAAAGGAACTGGGTTCCTTGACCTCTAACTGTTGCTTTCCTGTTGGTGATTCATCTTCATGCATGCAGGTTGGGTGTTTTCCCTTGCAGATACCACACGTATGCTTCTTCTTGCAGTCCTTGTTTCTGTGGCCCTTGCGTAGACATCCAAAGCACAGGTTTTTCTTACGCACTACCACTCGTTTATCCTCAATAGACAAGTTAATAAATTTCTCACACTTGAACAAGGGATGTCCTTCTTTCTCACAATAATCACATAAGTTGGGTCTCATGTCAGTTCCCGTTGCATTGTGCTGATGAGTTGAATTCGTTGCGAGGACATTTGCTTTGCGACTCGAGTTTTTAGGTCACCTGAGTAACTCAGGTGACCTATTGCTATCCGTTTTCGTCCGTCGTCGTCCGTCGTGCGTCGTGCGTCGTGTGTCGTGTGTCGTGTGTTAACATTTGAACATTTTCAGCTTCTTCTCTGAAACCACTGAACCAATTTCAACCAAATTTGGTATACAGCATATATGGGTGGAGGGGAACAAAAATTGTGAATTTCATGGTCCCCGCCCCCCTGGGGCCTGAGGGGTGGGGCCAAAACCACTAAAATTAATGAAGTGTTTAAAAATCTTCTTCTTTACTCCTGGACATCAAGCAGGCAAACTATTGGCATGAATGTAATAAGCATTGAGTCCTTTACCAAAATTGTGAAATTCATGGCCCCAGGGTCAGGGGTTCTAGTGCTAGGGTGGGGCTCTATAGATTATATAGTGAAAATTCATTATTTCTTTGAAAATCTTCTTCTTTGCTCCTGAGTATTAAATACACTAACTAAGCACATAGTTATGATGAGCAAGAGTGCCTCTTCCAGATTTGTGAATTTTATGGCCCCAGGGTCAGGGGTTCTGGTGTTAGGGCGGGGCTCTATAGATTATATAGTGAAAATGCATTATTTCTTTGAAAATCTTCTTCTCTGCTCCTGGGTATTAGATAAACTAACTAAGCACATAGTTATGATGAGCAAGAGTGCCTCTTCTAGATTTGTGAATTTTATGGCCCCAGGGTCAGGGGTTCTGGTGTTAGGGCGGGGCTCTATAGATAAGATAGTGAAAATGCAATATTTATATGAAAATCTTCTTCTCTGCTCCTGGGTATTAGATAAACTAACTAAGCACATAGTTATGATGAGCAAGAGTGCCTCTTCTAGATTTGTGAATTTTATGGCCCCAGGGTCAGGGGTTCTGGTGTTAGGGCGGGGCTCTATAGATTATATAGTGAAAATGCATTATTTCTTTGAAAATCTTCTTCTCTGCTCCTGGGTATTAGATAAACTAACTAAGCACATAGTTATGATGAGCAAGAGTGCCTCTTCTAGATTTGTGAATTTTATGGCCCCAGGGTCAGGGGTTCTGGTGTTAGGGCGGGGCTCTATAGATTATATAGTGAAAATGCAATATTTCTTTGAAAATCTTCTTCTCTGCTCCTGGGTATTAGATAAACTAACTAAGCACATAGTTATGATGAGCAAGAGTGCCTCTTCTAGATTTGTGAATTTTATGGCCCCAGGGTCAGGGGTTCTGGTGTTAGGGCGGGGCTCTATAGATTATATAGTGAAAATGCATTATTTCTTTGAAAATCTTCTTCTCTGCTCCTGGGTATTACATAAACTAACTAAGCACATAGTTATGATGAGCAAGAGTGCCTCTTCTAGATTTGTGAATTTTATTGCCCCAGGGTCAGGGGTTCTGGTGTTAGGGCGGGGCTCTATAGATAATATAGTGAAAATGCATTATTTCTTTGAAAATCTTCTTCTCTGCTCCTGGGTATTAGATAAACTAACTAAGCACATAGTTATGATGAACAAGAGTGCCTCTTCCAGATTTGTGAATTTTATGGCCCCAGGGTCAGGGGTTCTGGTGTTAGGGCGGGGCTCTATAGATTATATAGTCAAAATGCATTATTTCTTTGAAAATCTTCTTCTCTGCTCCTGGGTATTAGATAAACTAACTAAGCACATAGTTATGATGAACAAGAGTGCCTCTTCCAAAATTGTGAATTTTATGGCCCCAGGGTCAGGGGTTCTGGTGTTAAGTCGGGGCTCTATTGATTATATAGTAAAAATACATTTATTCTTTGTAAATATTTTTCTTTGCTTCTGGGTTTTAAGCCAATTATCCAAGTATATATATATTTATGATGAAGAAAGGTGCATCTAGCAAAGTGGGTTTTAACGCCCCCAGGGTCAAGGGGGGGGGGGTTACATAGCCTGAAAATAAATTAAATCTTTGAAATCTGCTTTTTGGTATGAATCAACCATTTTATGATAAAATTTGCAAAATTTTGAAATATATGGCCCTGGGTCAGTGGTTCCTTTGGGGTGAGGTGCACAACTGGTTATAAAGTGGAAGTGCATTTTTTCTTTGTTACTCTGATCTACCTCTGGGTATTAAGTAAATAGAGTAAGCATGCTAAGTTAATAATTATGATAAGCAATGGTGCCTCTTTCAAAATTGTAAATTGTGAATTTCATGGCCTCCGGTTTAAACACGAACCAAATTTAATTGTTTGAAAGTTGTTACACAATACTCAGGTGACCTATAAGGCCCGTGGGCCTCTTGTTGTGCTCTCTGGCAGGTTTAGTGTCAGTGTCTTTGAGCGCATAGATTGACGAGACTGGATTACAAGCAATGCGAGCCTCCTTTACGACGAAGTCCACAAACTTGGAGAATAATAGATATTCACCAGTAGAGTCAATAGTTTCTTGAACTTGACGATTCCAACGCAGTGCAGCCCAATTAGGAAGTTTGCTTAATAGTTTCTGATTTTCAGAGCAGTCGTCCAAAATTTTAAGGCTTGGAACCTGAGGCGTTGCATCTCGACAGGCTAGTAGGAAGTCTCCAAAATCTCTGAGAGCCTTTGAATTCCCTTCTATAACAAATGGGTGTCCGTATCTGTCCTGCAGGACTTGTCTGGCGTTTTCATATGCAGAGCTGCTTCCACTGTAGAAGAATCCATCTATGGCCTGTAGTGCTTCACCCGCCACGTATCTCTTCAAAAAGAATAGTCTCTCTTGCTCAGGAATGCCTTTACGTTCTATCAATGCATGAAAGGCCGTCTTCCATTCTACGAATCTAAGTGGATCTCCTGTGAACACTGACGGCTCAGGTATAGGTAGTCTATTAAGGTTCACTGAGTCCGCAAACACCTTTGCTAAGATACTTGTTGTAGAATCATCGTTTGTGGTGCTGTTCGAGTTGACTGTAGCGTTGTTAGTAGGTGGGTTGAACGGAGTATAAGTAGACCTCCCAGTGTGTGTAACGGTAGGACGAGTAGTAGATGTGACGACTGGTGTAATCGTAGGGTGGCTAACAATAGTCGAAACAGCCGGGGGGTCAGTTGGACGGCTTCTAAAGGAAGTGTCATGTTCAGTTTGACGTCTGCTTGTGGCTGCAGCAATGTTCACATCCCCCTGCATCAAATCCGATTAGGCCTTGAGTCTTGCTTCTGCCATTGCAACTGATTTCTCTGCTTGAAATTTTCTCACTTCCCGCTGCTGAGTTTCTAGTAGTTTTCGTTGTTGCTCTTGCAGTGCTTCAAACTTTGTTTGCTGTTCCTTTTCTTTCTTTATCGACTCCAGTTCTACCCTTTTGGTTGCTACATCTGCGAGGGCATCCACGAACTTTGAGGACAGTTGTGATTTTATCGAATCACTCTCCGAGACACTAGACCAACTTAAGTCACTAAACACAGACCTAGCATACTCATTATGCTTTAAACCTTTACGACTGTCTATGGTGTCTTCAAATCCTGAGATTTTTTCATTGATGAGATGAGTCATGTCTTTAGAAATAGCAACACAAGCGTCCACTTTCCGAACTACACTTTGGTGTGGTGCACTACATGAATTACGCAAATGTTCAAAAGCCTCTATGACCTCTCTTTCCAGCTTCAATATTTCGTCTAACATGTTTCCAAGATCTTCTTCACTGGACTCTATTTTCACATTTTGTCTACACTCTCTGACCTTGAACTTCCATCGATCGAAGCACAATTCAATCCTCTTTTCACGTCTCTTAGACTCCTGGTCCATGTAATCTAACATTCGGTCGGTGGGTTTATGTACCCGTTCAGACTTCCTCTGTCCCACATGTAAAGAGTCTTTGTTTGTCGTTTGTTGTGTCTCAATATTCACTGGTTCGTTGTTTTCGTTATTCATCGTTGTATCATAGTTTTCGTTGGATGTTGTACCATTAGCTGTATCCGTTACATCAGGCGTTGTACCATCTGGGGTCGTTTTGTCATCAACCTTTGACATCTTGATGAGACTGAAGTCAAGTTCTTACTATTAGTGGCTTGGATAAAAAAGGGATAAGTCTAATAATACTGGTGATGTCTTTATTGATGGTAACATCAACGTAAGAACTGTTAAAACAAATACAAAATTTATCAGTAATTAATACATAACAAGAAAATCTAAAATTACATAAAGTACACAAACATGCACTAAGATGACCCTTTGGTATACATACACATGTAGACTAGAGTTCAATATTCAATAATATCAGCTAATTGACTAGTAATATGTAATATGAATAATATCTATACGTTTAATTTAATTCACTTCTTATTACCAGTGACAATCAGGAAATACAACTGTGCTACTTCACTTAAAACTTGTAAACAAACTTGGCGCCTTGCCTTACATTACCGTACAAAGGGCAATAACTCTAAGTTGATAATCACACAAAATTCCATGTGCACAACAAATAATCTCACAACCGATAATTTACATAATAAATCAGTTCTATTTAATCGTTAAATTGGTATGATATATAAAATACAAACTGCAATGGGACTAATAATTATCAATCAAAATATCACTACACGTGGGTCAAAATGGCGCCATGTATAAAACCACACTAGCCATGCTTGTACAAAAATGCTCTACATACAGAGTAATCGTTATATCTATATAAATCAGAAACATTAACTCACAAGATCAGGGACTTTAAACGTTACTATGAGCATATGAATACATAATTGCTAATTACCTTGTTCTCCTGACCAAGTCGCTACGTTTTAACTATCGTTCTGCGTTAACGTTAGGATGTACAAAGATGCTGGGCGGAAATTACGTAATATACAAATAGTAGCCGGACCCAAATATAAGAAGATTGCCTATCCGGAATTATTTACCAAACATTGTTACACATGTGATTCACAAAAAAATATTGTAAATAAAATAGACTCCAATAAAATTATAGTAAAATAAAAATTATGACATTTACACACTATCTACTATAAAAGGAACTATTTCTTATCAAATTTTAAATTTGAAAGATGTTAATCGGTTTTATGGAACTACTTATCCGTATACCCTAGTTGAACCACACTACCAATAACCTGTGGTTAACGTAGAGGCACCTGTCAAACTAAACAAAAGGAATCACAGACATAATGGATATATATATATATTCGATTTAATTGTCATCAATAATACTGAGGAACTTCTAAGATAGACGACTTCAGTTGCTGGAAAGAGCGGAAATATTTATATAGTTCAGTCCTAGAATCCCCGGTGTCTATCAGACTGGTAGCTGCAGAATTATAGAAAATTAATATCAGGGATAATAATAATTAATTACATGTATTAATTTCCATCCCATTATTCGTAATACTGCAGTACGTCTGAGATGCACAATTTAAGGTGTAGTTTCCTGTAAAGAGAGATAAAACAAGCAAATTCAAGGAATTGTGGTCCCCCGCTTTCGATGTCTTTGTGGGTGAGATGTCAATTTTACTATATATTGTGTGAATATTAACACCCTATCATATGTCATTTATTTACAAATCATCACTGAACTCCAAGGTCAAGGTCAAAGGGTTAAAGTTCTTGGTAACAAATCAAAAGTCTTCTCACAAGGATACATATGTGAAAAATGAAAGTCCTAGCCCTTAGCATTCAAAAGTAGTTATGGTCAAGCTTAAAGTTTTTTCATAAGACTTAGTACAAAAAATATCCAAGGTCAAAAGGTCAAGGTTGTTGATCTCAAATGAAAGGTCTTGCAACAAAGAATACATCTGTGAAATATGAAAGTCCTAGTATCTACTGTCCAAAAGTTGTGGCCAAGTTAGTTTTTGAAAAGTAGATCAAATTTCAAGGTCAAGGTCAAAGGGTCAAAGTTCCGTATATCCAGTGAAAGGTCTTTTCACAAGAATTACATATATAAAGTATGAAAGCCCTACCCTTACCGTTCAAAAGTTATGGTCAAGGTTAAAGTTTTTTCATAAGTACGGAAATCTACAAGGTCAAGATCAAAGGTCAAAGTAGTTGATATTTTATAAAAGGACTAGTCACAAGAAATATATGTGTGAAATATGAAAGTCCTAATATCTACCGTTCAGAAGTTATGGCCAAAGTAAATTTTTGGAATTTTTGTGTAAAAGTAGGTCAAACTCCAAAGTCAAGGTCAAAGATCAAATTCGGTGGTACCATATTGGAAACGCCTTATCACAAGAAATATACATGTGAAGTATTAAAGTCATAGCTCCACTAAATCAAAAGTTATAGGCAGGGATAAAGTTTTTGTGACGGACTCACAGACAGACAGACGAATGAGATTTAATGTCCCCTCGTTTTCGCGAAAGCGGGGCCGGGGACATAAAATACAAGTTAACAAAACACTGCGCAATCCACATAGCATCCTTTTTAGTGTAACAATAAACCACAGGCGTGGTACACTTTTAAAGCACTCTTTTATTAATATATGTCCGAGACCGCGCCTTTAAAAATGTATAAAATGTATTACGGAGTAATTCATTCATAATTATAACAATATAAGACATGATGTATACCTGTAAATGTTCTAAAATATAATATTTTCATTAAATAGGTATTACAAACTGTAAAATGTGAAAAGCGTTGAGGTGTTTGTTTGTTGTTGTTTCCGATCAAATAATCTTCTTTGAACATCAATTTTTTGTGAAGATGTCGACATTTTCAAACGTCAATGGAAATATCTCCGGTGTGCGCTATCGAGACGACATTTTTCAGCGCCATGTGATACCCTTCATACAGGGACAGCAAAATCACATTACCTTACAGCACGACAACGCAAGACCCCACTTTGCACGCGTAGTGAGAGACGTTTTCGTTCAACAGCATGCCGATGTCTTGCCTTGGCCAGCAGCAGTTTCCCCCGATTTCTCACCGATCAAGCACGTTTGGGATGAAATTGAACGACGCTTACGTCGTTCGCTGAATCAGCCAGAGACTCTGGCTGTCTTAGGCCAGGCCTTTACGACCGTCTGGAACAACATCTCCCAAGCATATCTGAACACTTTAATGTCATCAATAAGGCGCCGTTGTCAAGCATGCGCCAATGCAAATGGTGGTCACACACTTTATTGACTTTGTTAAGTCAAGTTTGAATACCAGTGTCTTTCCAGTTTTCATAAACTGACGTTGTTTGACCTTAACTTTAATGAATTATGAAATGTTGTTATGAATGTATTTGTTAATAGTATTACAAGAAATAAAAATTTGGTCATTGTTCTTTTTATTATCTATTCATGTTTACAATACTGCACAGTTTCTTTTTTTCCGCTAGTATATTTAATTGTAGTGTAATAAAAAAAAACATATACAAACTATCAGAATTTTTTTTTCTCTTTTTTCAACATATTTCAATACAAAAAAAAGTATCATTATGATAATAAACGTAATTTGAACCTTATTTTAAGAAACTTTACTGAATATACTCACCTAAGGTCCCCGTGGCAGCTCCTGTAAGAAAGAGTTGATATTTTCCTGCTTCGTCGGAGACAGAGAATCGGTCGTATATTAAATACAGAGTTGTAACAATCTGGAGAGTGATGGACACATACAGGGATGATGAGTTTTCTTTTGTTAATTGATAGATTACGTCATTTCCTGTAATAAGATATATGTGATCAGCTGATTAACCCACTGCAATACAATTAATTCTTTTAAAAAATTTTATCCTGCAAATACACCTTGCATTGACCTAATAAAGCTAACCTAACAAGGGAACCGCTACGCGGAGCATCCCCTCGCGGCAGGAACATCACTAGTAATGGCAATATCTCATGAAAATAAATTCTCTAGAGGGAAATGTTAAACATGTTAAAGATTGATAGTACAACGTAATCTTCTTTAATGTCCCTCATGAATATTTTGCTCATATGAAGGCTTGCCCGCGAAGAGTTGCACATTTTTTTCCTATAATAGGCACTGACGGCCATTGAGCAGTGAGGAATCTTTTTATACCAGCATCTATTCCGACATTGGCCCTTGGTTTACACGGTCTCATTCGAAGGACAATTAAGTGTCCACGTCCCACAGTGGGATTCAAACCCGTAGCATTAGGATCAACTCCCTTACTTTAGACAAAATAATTAGTGGAGCGTTTTGGTTAGGGGGGGCATAACATTGATACCTAATTTTAGGTAGTA